CACAGGGACTTTGGATACATGCTTGAATCCATTATATTTTCCAATGCCATGCACTTAAGGAAAATATTAGCAAGGAATAGATTCATGTTGACTATCTGCAAACTTGTGTAAGTACAGGCTGGGGAATCTGGAATGAAATGGGAGGGGTATCGAGTGACATGTGCATTCTGACCCTCAGAGGATGCTGAGATAATAAGGTGCAGTGTCAGGAAAGAGCATGGCCCAAGATATCTTTGGACAGTGTCCTCAGTGGTAACTGACTCAAACTGAGGCAGAGGGACGCAGGGCTAAGACTGGCCCGCCATTCTTCCTGCAGTGAGCCACAGGCTTGCAACTCTCCCATTGGCTGTGTGGCTTTGGAATCCTCCTTCCCCATCCAGCCCAGACCATGGAGGGAGATAGTCACCCAGGTGCCCAGCCCAGAGGCCTAGTCAGTGGTGGCAAGGACAGTGCCTAATGGCCAGAACCACCAACTCAGTCCTTTAAGAGCCAAAGTCAGGCCCAGCCCAGGGAGAAGAACACAGTAGACCAAGAACAGTCTGCTCTTCCGTTTCCTGCCCCATTTTCCTGAGCTTGCAGCACTATGAGAGGGCAGAGGAGGGCAGGGCAGGTGTGCACCCTTGAAGTCTATCCCTGTTCTCTGTGGACACGTAAGTGCTAGCTTTGCCTGTTTTGATGCCCGATGGGCCACTGTCATCTTTCTTGTCTGGCTGGGACATGAGCCTTCCCCAACCGATCTTTTACTTAATAGAACTCTATAACTCTTCATTTCCTGGACGCACCTTGGGTTAAGCAGGTGGTGAACAGCTGGCATTTCTCACTCACTTTCTGGCATTTCTCATTTTTATAAGACGCTAAGCTGGCATTTTTTATTATAAAGCCCCAGAGTCCCAAGGTTTAATATCTTCAGTGTTAGATTCATGAACAACTTGGAAGTTAAAGATTGCCTGGGGCTGGATTTGATGGAGTGCACAGCTTGTCGCTCAGAATATGATTTATTTGCTCAAGGGAGGGGGGGAAGAGCATGGGACAATTAAGTGATATCTGAGTTGTTGAGAAGTAGGGGGAAGGCACAGAGTCCAGTGAGCAGCAGAGGGCCTGTAAATCCTTTCTGACAACTCGACTGTTTTTAAAACAGCAACTGATTTGGAGACCAACTGGCTTGGGAACTCAAATCAGTCAGAGCTCAGGAATGTTTCCATCCAGCTATGTCTTTTAGTTGGAGGGTGAACATTTGAGGAGGGCAGTCTGGGCGATGGTCTTTGGAGTCCAGACATGTGGCCTTTGTTGTGCCGGTCAAGCATGCCATGCTGTCCTACCTCAGGGCTTTTGCACTTGCTGAACCTTTAACTGGAACTGTATCTGTTCCCTCAGATTTTTACCAAACTGTCTTCTTTCTTCATTCAGCTCTTAGCATAAAGATTACCTCTCTAGAATGCTCATTCCTGAGCCATCCTCACTAAAGAAGCCCCAGCCCCTCTGCTTTCAATGCCACCAATCTGTTTGTTCTCTTCACGGCACCTGCACCTCTCTGAACTCTCACTTATTTGTTTATGGCCCTCCTTCTGCAGATCAGGCGGTTCTGTGGAGTTAAGGATGGAGTCTGTCTTGCAGACTATCCATTCTGCACCCGAGGCACTGCCAGGTCCACATTGACATTGGCTGGAATGGATTTTGAATGTTATCTCCAGGCCTCAGTAAAATGAGCAGCCTTGAGCAGTCACTGTGGTTCTCACAGTTGAGTCTGGGCTCCCAGCATCAGAATTACTTGTGAACTTATTAGAAATACTAATGCTCAGGTCCACCCCCAGCGATGGGTAGGGTCAGTCACCTTTGCTTTTACAAGTCATGCCAGGGGTTCTAAAGCAGTCTGTCACCCACAGGCCTGGTTCAATCCCTAGTAACCCCCACACAAAATGGTAACACACCTGCAGAGGTGTGCAGATTATAAAGCCCAGCCCAGTGAAGTTTCACTGTGTACCTACCTGTGTTTCTACCCAGAGCACTGCCTGTGCTGAGCCCCTAAAGCTCCTTCAGCCCCCTCTGCCACACACACACAGGTCATTGCATGCCAGCTTTCAATTCCTAGATCAGTTTTCACCGTACTGACGCCTTGTATAAATGGAATATTTCAGTACTCTTGAGTGTCTGGCATCAGTAGTAACTTTATGAGCCCCATCCCTGCTTTTGGCTATTAGCAATATTTTATTGTTTTTAGAGTGCAGTGTGGACGTATTTTTATATGGCCGTGTCACAGTTAATGCAGTTTTCTATTGGCAAACATTCGGGTTGTTACCAGAACACCAAAGACAAAATGGCTTGTCAACAATGGAAAATTTATTCCTCACTGTTCAGGAAGCAGCAGGAACCTAAGATCAGAGGCAACCTGGTCCAGCCCTGGTGAGGCCACTTTCTTACTGCATCCTCCTTCTTGTCAAGAGAGTCCAAGAGAGAGCTCCCTAAAATACTCTAAGGCCACTAGCCCCATTCATTGGGGTGATCACCCCCTATGCCCCTCACCCCCAATACTGCATTGAGTGTTAAGATTTTGTCATAGGAATTTTGTAGAGGTACTGTTATTCAGTCTATTGAAGTTTGGGGCTATTCGGATGGGTTGTGTAACGTACATTCTAGCAGATATTTTGGGGTGGCTCTGACATGCATGTCTGCTGGGCATGTCCTCAGGGAAGGAACTGGTGGCCATGGGTTATTTGTATGTCTTGTGTTAGCAGATGTGGCAAACCAGTTTATACGCTCACCAGTGGTGCTGGTTTGTCCAGTGGCTCATAGTTAAGGAAGGGAGCCAAGACCTTGTTGCTGGGGAGACTCTGAGTGGTGATGGGAATCTGCAAGCTTTCACTTTCATGAGACACCCCAAGCCAGAGACTCTGGAGTCTGGGAGGCTGGTGTGATTTGCTCTGCCGGCTGCAATGCTAAGAGCTCTGGTCTGTAATGAGTGTGGGTGGCTGTTCAAAGTATCCAGGGGAGGAAATCCACCCCCAGTCTCCCCCATCTCGAATATTTAAATGTCAATTTAGCTTAATTGGCTGCTCGCCCGCCTCCCTTCCCCTCTCCTCCAGCAGTCTGGGCAAACACACTGCCTCAGACAGCAAGGGAGGGACAGCTTTGAGTCACCATGCGCTGCATCCTTCCAACTTACCTGTCAACCGTGGACAGGTGAATCAGGCTCCCAGTGAGTCAGCTGCCCTGGGAGTCTCACCTTGAACAGGTGAAAAGCAATGAGTCTTAGTCAAAGATCACAGGTGGTCACAGGTAGCATTTAGGAGCAAACATTACAGGTATGTGGGTGGACAGACTGAATAAGTAGACATAGACAAGTAATATGTATATGCAATATCACTTTTATATTTGCACAGTGCTGCATGTCTGTCTGCTCACCATTTTGTTGATCATTCACTACCTCCATGATAAACCAGCATTCCATGAGGATTTACATCCACACCTGACCTCAGGTGACTGTCCTGATAGCTGCGAGCCCACCCCCATTTCCCCAATAATGACATCAGGGCTCAGAGAGGCTGACAGACCCGCACAGGGGTGACATAGCCACTACAGGACAGATGAGGACCCTAACCCCTTCGACTCTAGAACCCCACGCTTCCACCTTCCTGCCATGCTTCCCACCTGGTGCCAGGCCCTGTGCCAAGCTGTGTGTCTCACTCAATTCCTACACTAAACCACAAGGTGAGTATCCAAAGTTTCCCTTAATAGATGAGGAAACAAAGGCCCAGAGAAGTTAAGTAACTCATCTCACAATACACAGCAGTGCTGGGATTTAAACTGAGATCCCTCTGAGACGGGTCCTTGCTCAGCTGCATGGAAATGTGAGCTCACCAAGTCTAGTGTATGACGAGGGCTCAATAAATGCGGAGCGAATGAACCCAGTGCCTCCAGTATTTAGCAATAAAGTTATAGGAGTAAGAGAAAACATTCAAGTTGTTATTTTGATGTAGGTGGGAAATTAATTTCCATAACGATATTCTTTCTTCTTTGGGCCAACATTGGCTGCTATGAGCTAGTCCTAGTGCTGGGGCCTGGGGACAGAGATGACCCTAGAATTCATTCATTCACTCGCTGCATATCGAACACCCTCTCTGTGCGCCAGGACGCAGACTCACTGCGGAGGCACAGGATGGCTGAACGTGCGGCAGCTAATGAGAAGGTGTTACTGTCTCTGCTTAATGTGCCTTTTCAACTTGTCATTCATCTGAAGCCACTGGTCCTGGAAATGAACTCAGTGAGGCTGAAAATGGTTTGAAAAACCTTCTATCTCGACAGGTGTCTGGGTGGGGCGGTATTATGGTGTTTACACACCCTCATGTAAAGGGCTGAATGTATCATTTGCAGCGATGCTTAGCACCCATCAGCTGCCTTGCGGGTCTTTCATCACTGTCCCTATGCGTGGGCCACTCCCCATGGGTGCAGGCAGTGGGGATGAATAGCCCACAGAGTGCTGTCTGAGTGGCATCTGAGGACCCACAATTTGTCAGTTTATGCACCTCTCCCCACCTGAGACTCTGGGATCCATGACTTGGCAAATCCAGGCTGCCCTGAGCTAGATTCTGGAGATGTCCTTGCAACTGAGAAGCTGTTGAAGTTCTTAAACTCCCCCAGAATCAGAATCCTCCACCCCAGAATCCTTCATCCCAGGATCCTCCACTACAGAACCCTCCACCCCAAAATTCTCCATCCAAGAATCCTCCATTCTAGAATCTTCCACCCCAGAATCCTCCATCCCAGAATCCTCCATCCCAGAATCCTCCATGCTAGAATCCTCCATCTGGAAATTCTTCATCCCAGAATCAGCTCTGAAAGCCAGTGCTGGGCCTGCTAATTATCTCCATGTCTCATAGACATAGAAATGGCACGTCCATTCCATTATTGGTGATGTCTAATAGTTTAATAACTTCTTCTTGGTGACATTCTTCTTCGTGACTGCCAATCATTTTAATAAATGATCTCGTCTGTTTGCTTTCCAGCCTCTGTAAGGGACGGACACTCTACTCTGTGGTGAGAGACGCCAAGATTGTGTTGGATGTCAACAAAACCAGGCAGATTGCCCAAGAAATTGTGAAGGTACTATAGACTCTGGGACCCTTACCTGAGCTTTTGAAAGACCTGACATTTTCTGAGAGGTTCCCCCAGCAATCCTGAGACTCTTAAGTATGGATTTAGACCACAGTTGGGACTTCAGAGAAATTAGGCCAAAATATCAGATGATGTGCATATAGGAACTCTACCAAGATGGCATCTGTAGGAACGGCTGACCAATGTTTGGCTTTCAGCTGGTCCCTTTTTATCATGAGATGTGGACATATGTAAAGGCCAGTGGACACGTGTAAGTCATTTGGTTCTCCAGGCTGGGATTCATTATCTCTGTCCTTGAATCCCCACAAGTGCAAGCCACGTCTCTCAACAGCTGTGGGGAAATGTCAAACTGTTGGCTGTTGTTTTGGATTACAACAAACAGGAACATCCTGAGTATCCTCACAGGTTTCTTATTAGTCAGTTGTCCTCAGGGTAAAAGCTAGGACTGATTTGTAAAAAGAAAAAAAAGATGTGACTGCTCACAGAAGAAAAAAAGCAATCCCTAGATGTGAGCTCCTGAGCTAGACCTCCAACAGACTCTGCGCTGGGTCCTTGATTGTTGTGACAGGAAATATCTCCTGAGAGCCTGGCTGTGTTCCGTAGGGCCTTGGGCTAAGTGAACAGGAGGAGGGAGCCCCCACCGCCACCAGGAGTTAGCCTTTAAAGGGTGATGGTTCTGCAAGGACCCCACCTCCCTTTTGTGTCCACTCTGCTCTCTAGGGACCTCTTCCTTTGCTTCTTCGGGAAGCAGACAGGCTAAATGGAGATGGCTTGGCAGTGGTCTGAGGGTGGTGGCTGATGGGGGGACCATGGTGATCTTCTCCCACCCAACCTCCATTCCCAGTGGATGGCCCCCAAGCTGCGCTCTGTCAGTGTGGTCTCGTGAAGGGACAAGGAGTATGAGCCCATGTGTGGGTGGCACTGAGCACAGAGGCCCTCTCAGGCCACTCCGTGTGTCCTCGCTTCCTGCAGGGCATGGGCTACCTGCATGCCAAGGGAATACTTCACAAGGACCTCAAGTCAAAGAATGTCTTCTACGACAATGGCAAAGTGGTCATCACAGACTTTGGGCTCTTCAGCATTTCCGGGGTGCTGCAAGCTGGCAGGTGAGTGGTGGCAGAAGGGACCAGAGGTGTGCTTGGCAAATGACCATCAGGGGATAGAATCTTACTCCAAGTGGCTTTAATGATCCAGAGACAGGGCTGGGCCTACGGTCACTCTGCTCAGCGACAAAGCTACCATGCCAATGCCAGGTGTCAAGTAACTCTTTAATCCACCTGGGGCCTTGCTCACCTGCCCTGCTTGGTTCTCCAGGTAGGTCTGCAGGCCAGTGCATGTCACTGGGCACAGAGCATCCTAAATCCTCCAAAGACCTTGCCTTTGAATTTAACCAGAGCACTTTCCTCCTATCCTGAGACTCACTGCAAGTTGGACTCACCCAGGAGTCCTTGCTCAAAGTTGTCTTAGGAACTAATTAACTTTAGTACAGCAAGAGTACAGCCAAGAGCAAGGGGTTTAAAGTGAAACCGCCTGGAGCCCGACGTGGCTCTGCCGTTTACTAACTGTGACTTTAATCAAGGCGCACAACTTCTCAAAACTTGAGTTTGCTTGACTGCAAGGAAACGATGCCTACCACGTAGGGTCCTTGTGAAGAAGTCACAAGACAAGCAGCCTGCACAGCGCCTGGTGCCCATCAAACGCCTAACAGAACAGTAGACTGCTGAGTTGTGGTAATTAGCGTTCATTTGCATATACCTCCTTGTATCACCCAGGAGAAACATTAGCCATAGTTAAGTAATTAGCTCTCAGACTCCACTTTCTTCAAAGCACGCTACATTGGGTTGACCATGGGAAAAGCAGCTTGATGCCAAATAAACAACCTGCGATTCACAAGGTCCGCCCTTGTGGCTGTTAATTTGGAGTCCCCGCACATGCACGCCTGTGCACACTTGTACATACACACACACACACACACACACACACACACACACACACTTTAAACCCTTGTGTGCCCTTCACACTGCACATCTTATGATGAATGTTTCTCCAGGAGGACAGTCTCATGATTTCTTTGCATGGGAGAGAGTCCCGGAAGGGACCAGCAGGCACAGATGGTGCAGGGGGCGCAGGGTCTCTTCCTCCCACTCCCAGCACCACTTGCGGCCTGCTTGGCTGTTGTGGGAACCGGCAGGTTTCAGGTCAGGGCTGGGGAAGCAGTTGAGGACAGCACTGTGACACTAGCTATTTGTCTCCAGACCAAAGGAGCAAGTATTTTCTTTATTTGTCTTGGGTGAGGGCTCTTTTAAAACCCAGATTTCTTCTGTCTGTGCTCTCCAGTTCTCCCCAAGTGGACTCCCCCAGGTGGAGGGCAGGGTGCAGGGTTCCTGCCTTCCTCCCTTAGACTATTGATTGGCCAAAACCTCCCAGAGAAAAGAAGGAAGAAGAGGAAATGGGGTGAATTACGCACCTTCCTTTTAACCTCATTCATGGATATCTACCAGGAAGGAAGTTTGAATTAAGGGCAAAATGGCTTCAGCTTTGTGCAGACAGCACCCGCCTCCACCTCCACCCCAGCCTGGTGGTCAGCTCCAACCCAGTTAGTTCTTGAGAGGCCAGGGCGCCTCCACCACGGCCACAACAGGAAGTTCCCGTTTCCTGGCTGCTTGCAAGTAGCCATCGGGAGCTTCCTGTCTTTTATTCTTGTCCCAATTGTGAGCTATTGTGCAACCACCACCCCAAAACTGGACACCGTAAAATAAGTTATTGTTTGCAGGGTGACGAGGCTCAGCTGCACTCTCGGGGTCATGCTGTCTCGTAGGTGCAATCTGAGGGAACTGAGGCTGGAGTCACCTGAAGCTGCCTTATCCTCACATCTGGAACAGTGGCTTGACTGGGACAGCTGGGGAGCTGATGGGGTTTCCTTCCTCCCGCCTCGTCCTGCCCCCTGTTTTCTCCATGCAGCCCCCCTGCAGGACCACACTGGACTTGCTCACACCATAGTGGTCTTGGGATAACCAGAGCCCTTAGGGCAGCTGGGTACCACCAGATGGAGCATGCACAGGCCCCAGGTGGAAATTTCAGGCTGCTTCCTGTGCTTCAGAAGTCTAGAACATCAGGATGTAGTGATGCACACCGGTAATCTCACCACTTGGGAGGCTGAGGCAGGAGGATTGCTGAGTTCAAGACCAGCCTAGGCTACATAGACCAAGGCCAGCCTCAACTACAGAGGGAGACTCTACCTTGAAAAAAGAATCAAAACAAAAAGAAGTTCTAGAACATTCCTTCTGCCACATCCTATTGCCGGCAGATCACTAAAAGCCAGCAAGATTCACAGGGAAAAGAATTAAACTTCACTTCCCAGTGGGAGGGACAGCAAAGACTACCACATGGGGATCATGGAAGGAAGACGGAACTCTTTGGGTACCCCACAAGTCCCAGGACCTTTCCCATTTAATGGCCAGCATTTACCTGCAGGTGCAGCCTTTGGGCTCCATGGGGTCCCCTTTAGGGGTTCATGTCATGGTTTCCTGCCTCCCATTGGTGAATAGGTCCCTTAGGAACAGAAGTGCCCCTGTTCAGACAAGAAACCCTGGAGAGCAGTGAGAGACCAGGAGATCCCCCTGAGCCCTGGGGTGTCTGCGGGCCCTGACTGGCATCCTGGGAGGGTGGTGAAAGGTGGGAGAGAGGGCAGGAAGCTGGCCAGGCTGCAGGCATTGTGGGGGACAGATGCACCAGTGCTAGGGGCCAGGCCAGGGAGCCCCCCAACTCCTGTCTTTAGATGTGAATACTTGGTGAGTACTGAGGAGTGTATCAGTCTGTTTAGGCTGCTATCACAAAATACTACAGTCTGGTGGCTTAAACAACAAGCACTGACTTTCTCACAGTTCTGGGAGCTTGAAGTTCAAGATCAAGGCATAGCAAATCTGATGAGGGCTTTCTTCTTGGCCAGTAAGCAGCCTTTCCTCACATGGCCTGGAGATCTGATGTCTCTTCCTCTTCTTATAAGGATACCAGTTGTATCAGATGAAGGCCCTGGATTTATGAGCTCCCTGGACCTTAATTACATCCCTCAAAGCCCCTTTATCAATTACAACCACTTTGGAAGTCAGAGCTTCAACATATGAATTTCAAAAGGGAGGACACAATTCACTCCGGGCACCAGGAGATAGATGGCCAAACCTTACTTGAAGGGACTCCCTGAGACTCAGTTTCCCTGTCTGTAAAGAGGAGTATAGCAGACACATTCCTACCTGAGACAAATGCTTTAGAGATGAAACAGGGCAGCAGGGCAGAGACAAAAAGGGGCTCCTTAGTGCTCTGCTCTTTGGGGGTGCTGATTCCCCTGGAACTCTTGGGGACTGCGGTGGGGAGTCCAGGCTCAGGACCCAGGCAGGTCACTGTGGCATTCCAAGCCTCTGTTTCCATGTCTGCAGGTAGAGATGGTATTCCTCTGGGTGTGGGCTTCGGGACATTAACAAGCAGGCACACGGTAGGTTCTTACCAGAGGACACTTGCCTGGCCCAGGGCAGGGATGGAGGTGGCCCAGGGAAGCATGTTCCATGCATCCAGACAGCACCCACTGTACAGCTGTTCTGCCTTCGTCAAGAAAAAATGTCACCCGCAATGCCAACCCTACCGTGCCAGCCACTGGCAGCCTGTTATTAATCATAATAATAACCATAATGAGGATGATTTGGGTTTGTCACAGTGGGCCCATCACCATGGGAACGGGACGCCCTGGGGTGTCTGTGCTGGACCTGGCTCCTGGTTCCCCACCCCCAGTCCTGTGCCCACGCCTGCCCCTGGCTGAGGGTAATTGTGTGGCCACGCTCCTCCTTCCGCCCTGGTGGTCCTGTGGTACTAATCCTGTGCCGGCCCAGCACACCAGGACAGATACCAGGAAGTCATGGGGACAGGGAAGCTGGCTGTTGGGCCACAGCATCCCCCCAACCTTTTTCCACTGGCCTGGCCATGCCAGAAGAATATTGGCTGACCCACTCCAAAGCTGGTTCCTTGAAGAACATTCCAACTTTAAGTTCTTGTTCAGGGCCATCTCTGAGTCCTCAAGATAAAAATGTGTAATATATACACACAGAGTAATTCTGTCCGATAATCCTGTCACTCTGGCAGCTGACATAACCTTGTGCCACACACTGTCTTGCTTTAATCCTCGCAATAACTGAGTGATGTAAAAACCAATGTGCCCATTTTACAGGTGGAAAATGGAGGCTTAGATCTGCTCAGAGTGCCACAGCTAATAAATGACAAACGGGTCCCTAAATCTTTGCAGTTGTCCCTAACTTTGGTAGCACCAATCCCTTCAACTCTGCCACCTCCAGGCTTAGAACAGTAATTCTCAACAGGGGCTGGTTTTCTCCCAGAAAAACTTTAGGACAAATGGGCAGTTTGCCCTGACCACATTGCTCCTGCCATACATGTGCCAGTCTGTTCCTAGCATGAGAACTCAGAAGCTGGGTGCATGTGTGAGAAACAGAGTGGGGACAAAGGCACCTTGGGGACCCACAAATCTCACCCATCCCAGCTCACAAATGCAGCAGCAGTACTGGAACCCCAAATTCCCAGAGTCTCCTTCAGGGTTCATCCCTCTATCTGGGGCTTCTCAAAGTATGGCCAAGTAGGTTTTAGGGAAGGCCCACCCAGACATTTTCCATTTTAATTTTAACGTGTGTTAGAAAAAGGCAAGTTTCTGTTTATGGCCACACTAAAGAGTAACCTATTAAAATAGGAAGGGAGAAACTCATCTTTAGTAAAGAACCCTCCAAGTCTGTCTGGTGCGATTTGTTAGCCAGGAGCTGCCTAAGGCGAAGTAAGTTTCATTTCAGTTAAAATGAAATTAAATGAGGACAGTGGCCCTTCAGTCCCATCGGCCACCTTTCCAGTGTTTGGCAGCTACGGTGGCCAGCAGCTGACAAATTAGCACGGACAGAGAGCAGCGCCATTGTAGAATGTCCTGCAGGACCATGATGCTCTTGAAGAGGATACGACGTGGGTCCTGATCTCTGGAGACAAATGACTCCAGAGGAGGGACCAGTTGCCATGCCTCATATAGCTCAGCATGCACCCCAGAAAAAATGGTGCCGCACAATCTCAATTGTAACCTTCCCCGCCTCCTGCCCCTCCACTTCCCAGGGTCACCCAGCCCTTTCCTAGGAGTCGGCACTCAGTGGTGAGCTTGTGGAAGCTCTGCTTAGACATCAGTATGAATGGGAAGCTCTGAATTGCTAAAGATTTCTGCTGTAGGAAAGGGAGCCAGTCTCCATCCCCTCCTAAGCATTTCTCCTAGTAATCACAGGTGGAGGGAAAGAGAGGTGTTCACAGGGTCTGCCAGAAGATGTTCAGTGCAGCATTGTTTATAACGATGAAGGGAGAAACTGACCAAGGCCCGTGGATAAGGAGCTGGGTGCACAAACTTTGGCACACAGGACGTGTGATGGGTTTCCAGCACACCAGTGGGGCCGGCTCAGACATTTGTCCTTGCTTCCCCTCTGCCTGGATACTCTTTTCCAGGTTCATATGACTGAATCCTCTGTGTCAGGTAGACATTAGCTCACATTTCACCTACAGTAAGTTCCTCCTTATCTTGTGCACATCTTCCTGTCTTGACCTTAATTATTTGCATAATATTTATCGCAAGACAGACAGACAGACAGAGAGAGAGAGAGAGAGAGAGAGAGAGAGAGAGAGAGAGAGAAGGGTTGAACCCGGGGCCTTCCCACTGAGCTACGCTGTCAGCCCTTTTTTGGTTTTTGAGCAAAGGTCTCGCTACATCACTAAGTTGCCACGGCTGGACTCAAACTTTAACCCTCCTGCCTCAGTCTCCCAGGGTGCTGGGATTACAGGCATGTACCAGGGTACCTGGCTTCTATTTGATGCATTTGGCTCCTTCCCCTGCCTGAGTGCCAGGGCAAGGACCTTGTGTGTTGTGTACATGGCTGTGTTCTTGGCGCCAAGAACAGAACCAAGGCATAAGCAGGTGATCAGTAAACACAGTCCAACCTTCCTATTGATGGGCTCCATATCTGCAAACTTGCCTTCTCACTGAAATGTACTTATTATCCACAGATCAATACTCACAGTGTTTTTGCAGTCATTCACAGACATGCAGAGTGGTGACCCAAGTCATACATTCCATGGAAGGTCAAACAAAGGGCTGCTCCACCTTCCTGATTCAGCCTCACACAGAGCTGCCCAGTGAATGAAGCAGAGGGACAGAGTAGGGGGCATAAGAAGTCACAGCCCTGGGGCCACCTGGACAGGTTGAAATCCCAGCTGTGAGCCTGTTAGAGCCATCTCACACTTCCCCTGACCGAGATCGTTGAAGAATCACTAAGTCCAGCCCATTTTCTACTTCGTAAAATAGACAAAATAGAATTTCCTGAGAGTTTTTAGGTCCTCATTGGTGTGTGATTTGGAAGGGTTTGTTATTGGCTAATTCAGTGTTTACCGTGACTTTATGCAAATTATACAGCATGAAAGCAAATACCACACAGAACAAGAATTTGGGGTGTTTGTTGCACAGAGGCCATGGGACCTGGGCCTGGGTTGAGTGGTGGGTGCCTCTCTCCCGGCCACCTCTTGTCCTCTCTTCCTGCGTCTCCACTGGGTTTTGCTCTTCAGTAGGAGGTGGAGGAACCCAGAGGAGGAAGCCAGGAAGGCCAGCCCAGATGATTCTGGGGACTGGGGACCCATCCTTCCTACACTCTGAATCAAAGCTCATTCTGTGCTTTGCCTCTGCAGGAGGGAGGACAAACTGCGCATCCAGAACGGCTGGCTGTGCCACCTGGCACCAGAGATCATCCGCCAGCTGTCCCCCGACACGGAGGAGGACAAGCTACCCTTCTCCAAGCACTCTGATGTCTTTGCCCTTGGGTAGGTGGACTCCATCCTGATCTTCAAGAGCCACAGCCTGGCCACAGGGCAGTTCCCGAGGCTTCCATTGTTTTGGAAGGACCAGGGCACCTGTTCGTGAGGCTGGATTTCTGGGTGAGATTGGGAGGCTCTCAGGGGGGTGACACTAACATTAACACTAACACTAACCCTACCCCAACCCTAACCCTAACCACCTGCACGCTCTTCATCTGACTGGTTGTGTTGCCAACACAAATTTCCTCATTTATTCTCCACAATGGAGAAGTACCGGGCAGGAGACAGAAAGGGAGCTGCTGGATGAAGAGTTGGGGGCAAAGAAGTGAGGCCAGGGTGGTGGCGTGAGAGACTGGAGAGGGAAGTGGGCTCAGTCCCGCAGCTGCTGAGCACAAGTAGCATTTACGGGACGGAAGTACCAGCCCTCGATGATAGGATGAATCTCAGCGGTCCCCAGATATATGCCATAAGCAAGGGAGTAGAGGGTGGCGTTGTGCACCAGGACGCAGACTGTGGGCTGAGGTAGGTCAGGGTGTACCAGGGGGCCAGCAACACAGTGAGTTCGAGGAGCGTTGGAGATAACCATGGAAACCAGCCAGCATGCAGCTGAATCCGCGCTTTCAGAGTTTGGGAAAGAAACATTTTAGGATCTATCAGCAGAGAGATAGTGACGAGAAGCCATAACAGAGGAGATGTCTTTGAAAAAGTAGAAGCATATTAAGAGTCCAAGATGCAGGGCAGAGCACCCCGAGCAGGTACAGCCAGGAAAGCTTCCACCTCCTATGCCTCCAACAACCATGCTGGTCCTTGCCCTGCCTTTCCATGGATGTGTGCGAAGGCTGAGGGGCACAGCATGGGGAGGCTGCCGGGGAAGGTTGCAGGCCCGCAGATGTGTGCAATTAGACTTTACGCCACTGAGACCTGGTGGAGAAACAGCCCCTCCCCCAGCCTCTGTCCTCACCATCAACTTCTGTGGGGGCGTTTGCAGGGAGATCACAGTTCCCAGCATCTGTCGCTTGGGCCCCTTTGGAGGCTGCCAGCTTGCCCTGATTAGTTAAGGCCCAAATGTTTATCTAGTTAGACATCGTTATCTGAAACCAAATTGCAATAATTAAGTTGGTGTCGTTTAGTGTAAATTTAGCAAGAGAGAAAAAAAAATGTCATTAACAAAAGGTACCAAAGTAAGTAATTGGTTTTCCACTGGAAGTTTCATCTTACAGCAGTATATTTTTTTCCTCCTCGAAATGAATTTCTCTTAAAAGTTGGATTTGAAAGGAAGTTTTAATGAGGCTTTTCTTTCTGACACTGCCGAATCGCAAAGGGCCCAGTGCTCTTGGATTCCTGCCAATTAGGAGCATCCTGTTGCTTGGGAACCCCAAGCTCAGGGATGACTTAGAACAGAAATGAACTTTTAAAAGTGCGCTGGGCACCGAGTTAAGCTCTTTAGGGGGGCTGTCTCCTGCAGTCTTTACAAGCACCCTTTAAAGCAGGTATCGTGTCCTTCCCAATTGGAAGCTGGGGAAATTGAGGCTACCAAGACTCCAGAATTTGCTTTATTGCAATGGGTGGTGGAGCAGGGATTCAAACCTGGAATATCCAAACTCCACAGCTGGAGTTTTTCACCATGGAGCCTCCCTGGGCTTGAGAGTTACACCACCACTCACAGCGCGGCTGCTCTGAGTTGTACATCAAAGATAATGAAACCCATGGAGGCATCCTAAGAATCGATCAAGAAAACATCTCTAAGGTGCCAAGCACAAGGAAGAGCTCTGGAAAGGCATCCTCTCTTCCACGCGAGTAGTCCATGCAACCCTAGCTCATTCACCAGCTCCAACCATCAGCTGCAAGGCTGTACCTCAAAACTGTCACTTTCCTGGTGGCAAGGGACTCTGGAATGGGATGGAGTATAAGCTGCCTGGTTCGGCATGCTGGCCCGTGCCACTGCTATGGACTCAGGCCTGGCTCCTGGGTTCCATTGCTGGCTGCCTGTCTTCTTTACTGTGTAATCTTAGCTAAGACAGACTCTTCCTGAGCCTCGGTTTCCTCATCCATGAAGTGGGGGTAACAATAATGCCTCCTGTTTTAAGATATAGGTCTAATTATTATTCAGGTCTCATGAAGCCAACAGATGAAAAGATGGTTTGTCACCCACAGATCTCATAAGGAAGGGACAATACCATACTGTGCAGAGATCCCATGGGGAAGCATTGGTCAGGAGACAGGGAGCAGAAAGATTACACAAGCAAAAACCTTTCTTTGGGTTTCCTCTGGGAGAAGCAGGCGGGGCAGGGTGCGCAGGCTCAGAATGAGCTACTTGGAATAATTGCCATGGGCCCTGGGTGTGAGGGCTGAGGAACACTGGCCCTGGGGCTGAAGTCCTGTTTTTGAGAAGTATTGAGGGCTGGGATCTGGGTAGAAAAATACACTCACCAGTGAGTATTCTCTATCTAAAGGAGTTAGTTACCAAGGCAGGGTCAGACCCTCCAGGTTCAACGAAGGCTCAGGCGGTCAAAACCTCAGAATAAGAGAGCGTGCCTCATATGCTTCCCCTGCAAAGAGTTGAGAACTGATCTAGCTTGGAATAACAAGCATTATTGTTTATAAAGGTCACTGGAATCACACAGCACCTTCTCTGGAGGACTTTCTGGCCATTAACCCAATATGCTGATAGCTAAGCATCATCCCTCCCCCAGCCCAGCAGAGGTGGGGTCAGGAGAGAGACGATGCTGATGGGGAACCTAGGAACAGTTAGTTGCTTTGCACAGCCTCGGAGCAGTGCAGAGAAAAACAGAGGGCTTTGTGCTGTTTCAGAAGCATTTACATAAATTATCTTAGAGTGGAAGGGAAATCATTTCCTAGCATTGTTTCTGATATTTCCTGAGTTGGGAAATCTGGGTCTCAGGGAACTGAGATCTATCCCCATGGTACCAGGCATCCTGTGCTCATCGGTCACTGTCCCCATGCTGTCCAGGCCTCATGGCATCGCTTCTGCACAGCCCAGCCCACTGCCTCATCGGTGGTCGCGTGCTGTTCACTGGCGCCATTGTGGTGATTCATAAAAGATGGTAACACGGGAAATCACTCAGATAATTCCGGCACTGAATTGTTCCCATGTTCAGCATCCCAGATAAACACTGTCCTGTGGCAGTTTTACCACTGTTGTCACTGAACAGCCAAGGGAACCTCCACTTAGGGAAGTGCCCTCACCAGCCCCGTATCCCTAGGAGAGAAGACAGCCAATCTGAGTCCAAGTATTTCTTTGTTTTTCTCTCTGCAGTCCACCATTCCAGTTCACACTTAAGGACACACATATGAAAGAGGAAAGAAACCCTACACTAACTTCCAGAGTTATCTGTTATAATGTTTGAGGTGTTGCACTTTGTTCTCTTGACCATACATATCTGATTTTAAAAGGAGTAAGTTCAGGGGCTGGGGATTTAGCTCAGCGACATAAGCGCCTGCCTTGCAAGCAGGCAGTTGTGAGTTCGATCCCCGGTACTGGAAAAAGTGAAAAAAAAAAAAAGAAAAAAAAAAGAGAGAGAGAAGACTACACAGGAGGTTTCCAGTCAAAGTTTTCCAAAAAAGGAGTAACTTCAGACCTCTCTATATATAGTCTCACATCTGCTTGTTTCATTTAAAAATGATCTATTGACCATCCTTAATGTCAGCCCAATGTCTTTGAAGTGTTTTCATAATACAGTATTCCATTTCATTTTATGAATTTGCTACCATATATACACTCAATTCCTATTATTGAGCAATTATTTGTATTACTGAGCAATTATTTCTGCTCTCTTTCAATATCATATGTACTACTATAGAGAACATCTTTATTAATGAATATCTTTATACCAAATCAATCGCCTAAAGTGATTTCCTAGAATTATGACCACAGAATCAAAGGTTGTAACCACATCTTACTAAAAACTACCCAGAGTCTGTGATTTGATTCATTTTAATCAACCTCCAGAGAAGGTGTCCTGGGACAAGCATGAGTTCTAAGCCATTAAGAGAGCTTCAGGAATGTCCTAGAGGAGGAGAGGGATGTCATTCCTGCAAGGAGGGAGCTGGAGGGGACTGTTGGTGCACCAAGAAGCTGCCTGGCTGGGGTGGGTGTCAGTGACAGGGACTCCAGGGTCCCAAGTGATGTGCGCACCAACCCCTCTGTACACTCTCTGCCAACAGCACAATCTGGTATGAACTCCACGCCAGGGAGTGGCCTTTCAAGACGCAACCAGCGGAGGCGATAATCTGGCAGATGGGCACAGGGATGAAACCCAACCTTAGTCAGATCGGCATGGGAAAAGAAATCTCGGTAAGTCGCAGGAGAGGCCAGGTCTGGGAGGCAAGCGGAGAGCCCGACACAGGCCTGAACTTCCTTTTTAACCATGTGGAGTTGCACATGCTTTCCTAGAAGGTAACCCATTAAAAGCACACCCTCCACCTTGGAACCAAAATTTGGAGTTAGACCAAGACGAAGACCTCTGCACTATGCCTGCAATTTCAGGAGCCTACCACTAGAGGCAGAGTAACCCTCTGTCAGGTTTTTCCCAAGCAATGGCTTGCTAGGTCAGAGCCCTTGTTTTCCTGTTACATTGTCTTTAAAATATTCATTAAAACATCAAAAATGTTTAGGTGTTAATTTTCTTTGCATCTACACAATGATTTGAAGGCATTATCCAACTCAGAGCAAGAGATGCAGAAACAGAAAGGCTTGACTATAAATTAATAATCTTCCTCTTAAACACAGCAGGAAGAATCCTTTCTTTTGATCAGAAGACAGATAAGTCAGGGAAGCAGTAATTACCTGGTATGGTTGTCAGGTTTCCTTTCTTGAGTAAGAAAACTACCCAAAGTAACTGGCCTTGAATGATACTTAGATTATTGGAGTGTGGTTAGAGACTTCAGGATTCCTCCCATCCCTCATTTTTGAGAAAAGTTCCAGGAAGCCTCTTGCAGGGCATTGCTGATTGTGAAGTATCCCGGTCTTCTGGCTTAGAGCTACCTAGTTTGTTGTATGGCTCAGAAGGTGGGTGAGGGGAAGGAGGGTGAGTGATGAAGGAAGGCAGTGCTTTGATAGGGACAGACGCGCGGCAGGTGAGCGGGTGCATGGAGGAGGGGTACAGAGGTGGGAGGAGCCGCAGACTCAGCCACAGAGCCTAGAGGAGTAAGTCACCGTTTACGTTCGCTCGTTGGTTACTTTTAGGATATTCTTCTCTTCTGCTGGGCCTTTGAACAAGAAGAGAGGCCCACCTTCACCAAGCTCATGGACATGCTGGAGAAACTGCCAAAGCGAAACCGGCGCCTGTCTCACCCCGGACATTTCTGGAAGTCTGCAGAGTAGGTTTCTACCCTCCCCGTCTCCCCCCTGGCCCCGAGCCTGTCGATGTCCGCTCCCGGCCGGCAGGAAGGACACACGACAAAGTCTGGCAGTGGACAACCTTTTCTTTTATTTTCCTTCTCCGTACAGCCTGCCCTGGGATCGCTCCCAGCCGAAGCCTCCTTTGGTCCGCTCCCCGCGGCTCCTTTTGGGCTTCTACTTCCGGGCTTCTTCCTGGCTTCTTCTTCCGCCCAGGGGTGGCACCAGTATATATACGGGTACAGTGTCCAATCATGTTAAAGTAAGCAAGGCAAGCTGATTGGCTAACATCATCAGTTGCCAGGCAGACTATATTGTTGAGCGGGTTGTTTACGCGGTAAGCAGGAAACTAACATATTCGATGGGAGGGGTAATCTACCTCAGGCTTTGCTCTTTACCACAGGCCGCACGTCCGCCGCGCAAGGCGAGCTATCACAGACGCGGCTCCCAACATCTCCCCCTATTTTATTTTTTATGAATGTGCGCATCGTAGCCCTTCCTGGACTGGGTGCAGAGGCTTATGCCCTATGTGTAGGTCCACCGTAGGTCCTTGGCTTAGACCCTGGTTGGCCATGCCATGGTCTGCCAAGGCCCTGAGGCCCTCGTCCTTTTTCTAGGGCCAGGCACAAACTGGACGGAACCTGGATGCACACAAGCTTGCACTCATTTCCTCTCCGTAAAGAAATCCCCTCGGAGAGAAATTTAGACCTGGGCAGCATCTAACAGTCCAGCGGCTTACGTGCAGGATGGGGTAGGGCCTGGCTTAGGTTGAGTCGCACCGGGGAGGCACGCTCTTACCCGTCATTGACTCACCTACCCTGCTGTGTATTGTCACCTTATGGAGGAGAATGAGGGATGCCCGCCATATCCAGACTCGGTCGTGGGCCAATTGAGCAAGCCATGCATATGCCTGAGGATCTTCTTGTCCATTTCGGGCTACCGCTATTTCTATTCATCTTATTGGTTGGTCTGTGATGGATCTCCAGTAGGGCAGGTCTGATCTTCAGTCGAGGGCTTTGTTGCCCGTGTCAGTCTCTCCGGTATCCACAGTGGTTCTCGTCCCGGTTCCTGTGGGAAAACACAAACCGCGCCTCGGTTCCAGCTGACCACTGGATCCGGGCCCATCCATTGTCCTGTCAGGACATCTTTCCACTTCACCCACCCTTTATGGTTGGGGGAAGGGTTGCAGTGTTCCACAGCTGGGGAGCGATTATCATTATTTAAATTTAAAAAATTGTGTGTGAATAGTGCCATGGATAATCGTGCCTTTGGGGCCAGGCCTTGGCCTACTCCCCCTTTTTGTTTTTGTAAAATTTCTTTGAGGCTTCTATGAGCCCTCTCAATGATTCCTTGACCTTGGGGATTGTATGGGATACCATGTTTTAATTGAACCTCCATCATTTTGCAGAACTCATTGAAGGCTTTGCCTATATAGGCTGGTCCATTATCAGTTTTTAATATTTTTGGTTTGCCCCATGCGGCCCAAGCTGCCAGGCAATGATTGATCACATTAGACACTTTTTCACCTGTTTCTGCTGTTGCAAATATGACGTGAGAACAGGTGTCTGTGGAAACATGAACATATTTAAGAGTCCCAAACTCCTGTATATGTGTGATGTCCATCTGCCAAACATCACCAGGGATCAAACCTCGAGGGTTTACTCCCATCGGTATGGCAGGTTTGTATGTGGCACAGGAGTCACATAGTCGCACGATATCTCGTGCATCTGCTCTAGAAACATGGAAATGGTTTGCTAGTGTCCTGGCATTAACATGAAATTTATCATGGAAGGCACGGGCTCGCTTGATTGGTGTTAGTAAGGTAAAAATCCATAACGGGCGAGTGGCAGTGTCAGCAGCCGCATTCCCCTGTGCCATGGGCCCTGGCAGGGATGTATGTGCTCTTATGTGGGTGGTGAAGACCTTATGGTGTCTGTTCTGAAGCAATGTCTGGATAGACAGGAACAGTCCAGCCACTGTGGAAGTGGATCTAATTAAACTGGCAGTCTCAAGCACTTGCATAGCATTGACCACATACCTAGAATCGGAGACAATGTTAATGGCTTCTGAGAACCGTTCAAGAATCATTTTAACGATCTGCAGTTCTACCACCTGAGGCTGATCTGGTTTAAATTGTATGGTAACCGGGGGCTTGCCTAGGATCACATAGGCGCCTATCCCCGTCTTGGAGCCATCTGTGTATATTGTGGTTGCTAGGACTAATGGCTCAGAGGCAGTAACCTTTGGAAAAATTATAGGGTGCTGAGTGACAAATGACAAGATAGGGTCTTTAGGGTATTGATTGTTTATATCCCCATGGAAAACACATCTCAGAATGGCCCAGGTATCTATGCAGGCAGCCAGGGTCTTGATCTGGCTGGAGGTATAGGGTACTCGGATGGCTTGTGGTCCTGAGCCAAAATGTTGGACAGCTCTATCATGCGCTTCAAGGGCCAATGAAGCGACTGCCTCCGGGTAATGCTCTATGACTTTTGCAGGTGAGACCTTAGGGTGTATCCACAGTAATGGTCCTTTCTGCCAAATCACCGCTGTGGGCTGTAGACTAGTCTGTAGCAAACAGACATCAAAGGGTCGCCCTGGTTCAATTTTGTGTAAGGTAGCCCCACCTAAGGCTTTTTTTACTCTCTGTAAGGCAGCTCTTGCCTCAGGAGTGAGCCTCCTGTGGGAGGCTATATCTGGGTCTCCCTTCAGAAGGTCGAACAGGGGTTTGAGATCTGAATTTGGTATATGTAAATATGGCCTAATCCAATTAATGTCTCCCAATAGTTTTTGCATGTCATTTAGGGTCCTAACGCCATCCGTCCTAATGGTGACCTTCTGTATAAGTCTGGAGGCGACACTGAGGTCCACACCTGCTGACCCAGGGGTGGCCCTTGTTGAAGGCTGCCATCCTGAGCTGTCCTGTCTCTGGGGCGGGGGCCCGCCTGTGAAGGGGGCCCCCTCTGGCCGTTTTTTGGCTCTCTAGCATCTTGTCCACAAATACGGTTGCCCTGAGCATCAAAGACCGACCTACACTCCTCAGCTTTGTGTGATCCCTTTTTGCATCGCCCACAAACATATGGTTCTTCATTCCTAGGGCGAGGCCTAGCATCTGCATTGTTTGGGCAATGACGTTTAATGTGTCCTGGCTCCCCGCAGGCAAAACACCCTTTAGCCTTACATTCCCCTTCTAACCCGCGAGGTCCCCTCTGCTGTACAGCCGCGGCCAGGAGAGCAGCCACTCCCGAGTTGGAGAGCGGCCCCCCTATCTCTCTGCATATCCTAATCCAGGCGTTGAGGTCCTTGTTCTTATGAGGAGCTATCGCTGCCTTGCACTCCTTTGTACATTGCTCAAAAATCAGCTGTCTTACCAGCGGTTGAGCCACTCCCGGATCAGAAAATATCTTATCGGCAGCATCTTGCATTCGGGCCACAAAGTCAACAAATGGCTCTGTGGTACCCTGAATTACTGGGAAAGAACCCTGCGACTCCTTATCGAGCGACTTAGGCTCCTGACAGCTGGTCTCTTTGGCCTCCTTGCCATTCAACTTTCCCTCGTCCTCGGAGTCAGACGACTCCGAGGCTAGAGCCCCGTCCTTCTCCTTAGCATCTTTGTTCCCCTTGACGGGCCCCTCTCGGGAGCTCCCTGACTGGGCCTGCTCAAATACCCTGCGTACTTTTGTAAGCTCTTGAGAGCTTTCTCCACAACCACCCTCGCTCTTAATGTTACTACCTAGCATGTTTCCCATTTTTTAATATGTTACTCACCGCGTGAGGCCCAAGGAATCCGCCACTTACGCGTGAGCCTGAGGGGAGTCTAAAAGCCCTGTAGGTGCGCGCCACCCAGAGCCCAGGCTTATCCCCAACTCACCTGTCTCGCAGCTCTGTACTGGAGCGTTGTCCGCTGTCACGTCTCGGGGGTGATCAGTCCCCGGGCGGGCCTCCAAATGTCGATGTCCGCTCCCGGCCGGCAGGAAGGACACACGACAAAGTCTGGCAGTGGACAACCTTTTCTTTTTATTTTCCTTCTCCGTACAGCCTGCCCTGGGATCGCTCCCAGCCGAAGCCTCCTTTGGTCCGCTCCCCGCGGCTCCTTTTGGGCTTCTACTTCCGGGCTTCTTCCTGGCTTCTTCTTCCGCCCAGGGGTGGCACCAGTATATATACGGGTACAGTGTCCAATCATGTTAAAGTAAGCAAGGCAAGCTGATTGGCTAACATCATCAGTTGCCAGGCAGACTATATTGTTGAGCGGGTTGTTTACGCGGTAAGCAGGAAACTAACATATTCGATGGGAGGGGTAATCTACCTCAGGCTTTGCTCTTTACCACAGGCCGCACGTCCGCCGCGCAAGGCGAGCTATCACAGACGCGGCTCCCAACACGAGCCTTTGTTAGTTTTCTGCCCCTTCCCCAGCTGTCCCCCTCATCAGCCTCTTTCCTCCACCCTCACCACCTCCAGCGCCACCCGCCACTTTAAGGCTTCAGTTTAGAGTACTGTGGTTAGGGGACTTGAGTCCTGTTGTCAGTCTGGGGCTGTTAGGGTCCCTCACTGCCTCTCTCTTTCTGATGAAGGCCGAGGGCCCTAGAGTCTGAGTATCTTGTGGTCAGGTGGCACCCAGAGCCCACCAGGCCCCATCTGTCCTTTGTCAGGGACCCCCCAGCAGGCCTGCCTTGAAGGAACTCTCCCTGCAGGGCCCATCATGACAGCTTTTGCTAGCCATGATGCTAGCATCCTCTAGCATTTGAGCACAGAGATAAGAAATGTTTGCAGCTCTTCCCTGCCCTGAGTACCTCTGTGTCCTCACTGTGAGGCCACATGTCACCCTGCTTGTTCCTCTGTGCACACTCAGAGCCCTCCCTGTGATCGTGAGCAGGGCATCTTTCCTTGGGACTCTTTTTCAGCCGGCCTCTGTGATGAGCTCTTTAGAGCTGAGAGGGAGGGGTAGGGGGAGCTGGGGGGTGGGCTGATGTGGGGCCCTGATATGTTCTACTATGCCAGGTGCTCCTGGGCACCCTGCATGTCATGTGCTCACACAGACACTCTCAGGTCCACACACATGTGCATATGCACCCACACATACCTGGGCACTCAGATACAGAGACACATAGCTGTACACAAGAACTTTTCATAAAAACACACCTGTGTAACCAGCCTGTACACATAGGCAGCCTTCGCTATGTACACAGTCACATGCAGGACACACACAGACACACATGCACACTCATGCTTGTATGGCCGTACATGCCTATACACAGACACATGTGCTAGGTATGTACTGATGCAAGCCCCTGCCTGCATGCACAGCCACACACAGCTGCTATCCGAGTCTCCCCATGGGACCCCATGAAGACACCCCAAACCCCAGGGCATCAGGAGCCTCTCCTCTAGTCTTCACCCCAACTCTTGAACCTATGGGATGTAGGGTGTGGAATCTCCTCTCCCACTAGGGGCTCAGACTTCCCCTTGGGCTATTGGAAAGAACACAGACTTCCTAGTCAGGCTGGCGTAAATCAGAATTTCCACTCCACTGCTCAATGGCTGTGTGATTTTGGGCACATGACTTGGCTTCTCTGAGCTGCAAGTTCACACTCTGGAAAACAAGGGCACTTAAACCATCTAGCAAGAGAGCTGTGGGGCTCTGAGGGGTCCCACCCTCAGGAACTTGGCACAGCGCAGCCCAGGTAGCAGGACTGACTATACTGTGCAACCACTGTGACCGGGAAGGACAGTGAGCTGCCCTGTCCCAGTGGCCTGGTGGGATTTAGAAACTACTGGGTGTGAAAACTGACAGAAGACGGCTCCACTGAGCAAAACCTCTGCCCTGCAACGGAGTGTAGACGAGTTGGAGAACTGGTGTTGGGGCTCTAGGAGGGACCCTGGTACAAAGCTCAGGGTGCATTGGGACCACCATCCTGTGACCTCTCTTCTCCTGGGGCCAGAAAAAAGAGGGCACGCGTTCAAGTGCAGAGAGAAGCTTAAAGCTTGCTGTCGGAGGGGCAGAGAGTGGTGTTCCTTTCTGTTTCCTTCAGCTGTGGACCAGCGCTGAGAAAACACAGAGGACAAGACGTGTCCAGGGCTCATGCAACTTCGGGTCCAGTGGAATTTTCCGTTCAGTCAGGTTTTTATTATTCAGCCTGTGTATGCTGAACTTCTCTGAGGTGCCAGGCACCATTCCTTGAGTGAGAGAATAGTGGCAAACAGGACAGTTGGGGCCCGTTTGCTCCTGTGAATGGTAGCCCTCAGCTCATAGCAGGATGCTGGTCTCACGCTTTCTCCAGCCTTTACAGAGCCTCCTCCAGCCCACACCATGGATGACCATTCTGGCCCAGTAGGAGAGTTCTAGGTTCAAATCCGGCCCTTATCCCTCCTGGCTATGCACCCTTGGGCAAAACGCTTAACCGCTCTGAGCTTCAGTTATCCTTTGTGGAAAGGGTACTCTGAGCCCATATTGCACACAGTTCTTGGGCTTCAACGGGATAAGATATGTGTGGTGCTGGGCACTGAGCCGGGCACATAGTAGGACCTCAGGTAACAGATGAGAAGACGGGAGCTGCTCATCTGAAAGCACCTGACGCGCTGAGAAGGCGCCAGGACTGCCCTGCCACGTCCACCTCCCTTCTCACCCGGTTCTCTCTTCTCTCCCCACTGCAGGCTGTGACCGTGGGACAGTCGCCTCAGCTCCGAGCCACCTCTCCTTCCCTGCTCTGCCCTCTGCCAGCTCAGGAGGCCAGAGGCTCACCGTCAGAGGGTCCCCACCGGGCCGCTGGGGCCACTGCACACCCGGCGCAGGGGCTGCCCCGCACGCACCCCAGGCTTGCGCCCTTTTTCTCAGGCAAGAGTCAGGAACCCCGAGCTAGGACCGAACTGGATCAGTGAGGACGACACAGGATTGATGAGTGAGGCCCTGGTGGGGGGACAAGAGAAACGCAAGCTGACAGCGGAGCTCCAAGCTGTGCAGATGATGGCAGGAGACCTCTTGGTCAGCCTCGCAGGACCGTTTGTGTGCGCATGCATCACCGTGCTTGGACAAGCAGGGGCCACACTGCCCCGGCCCTCGAGTGTCCCTGCCTGCTTTTGTCTCTGCGGGAAAGAAGCACCAGCTCTGTCGAGGTGGGGAGGAAGGGTTGGCTAAAGCTCATTCCTTTGGAAATGTCTGTTTTCAGCGGCCCCAGCCCGAGGTGACAGCGGTTTGTGGCATTTTGTCTGTAGCTCAGGAAGGCAGCAGAAGAGTTCTGCACGTCTTTTGAGCTCTGAGTCTCAGGGGTACCAGTTCCTGGGTTCACCTTTGCCTGCTGTTCCTCAAAAGTGTCATCCTGTCCTCTCACTGCCCCGCCCTCCTTTTGCCATTTGGAAGGCACGATGGCTTCCCAGCCAAAATGACTTCTGGGGTTCACTACAGCTCCATCATTCATGATCCCCTCCTGAAGTCTGGGCCCCGAGGACCAGGGCTCTGGGGAAGGAGTTGCAGTCCGTCCCTTCCCCTCCCTCTTTGGCCCTGACAGTAGAGTTGGTCCCCATGGTGATGGATATGGGTCCCTGGGATGTGACGTGCTGGGTTACAGGATGGGACCCATAATAACCCTATTTGTGAAGGGCTCCTCCGCCTCTCATCCTTGGTTTTGGGGAAGTAAGGGAGGGTAGGTGTTTGAAGCCCTGCATTCTCCGTGCTAGCCGAGTTCCAAGTCCCCAAGTGGCTTGTTCAGGGTCCCCAGCCCCCTCTCCTCCCCCACCCCACCACCCCTCTCCTGGTTTATCAGCTGGGCTGGTGGCTCCCACTGTCCCGTGTGAAGGCTGCTGTGAGCAGATTGGATGAGGATACTGCGTCCATTTCCCAAATCCCTGACCCCACTGATCAGACCCTGCATAAAAGGAAAATTCATCCCCAAAGAGAGCAATAGCAGAGGCAGCTGAGCAGCTGAAAGGATGCCCATGCCCCCCTGGACTTCCTGGGTGCCACTGGCCTTGTCATCTTAGAGCTGACATCTGATCCAGGCAGCTCCCTCCCAGAGAGAGGAACTGAGACTTCAGAACCCTACTTGTGCTGATTCAGAATTCAACCAGACATACATCTGGGGGTCTGCCCCACTCTGGGTGGCCCCAGACTGGTCCATGCTCTGGGGACCTCGCTGATTGCAAGCCAGGAAAAATGCTGAGGGAAATCATGTTTCCCAAGAGCTGGACCCCAGGGAGACCCTGAAGTCCCTACATTGTTCTTTCCAGTGATCCCACCTGTTTGGGACCTGAGGACTCAAAGCCCCAGTTGGACAGTTCCTAAATGGATATTCTTTTTCTAGGGACATGTATACCCCTGTGGTCCTTGGCTTGGGATTAGGGTAGTTTGGAGAAGGTTGCCCCAACCTTGTGACTTTTTCAGGGGTCCCCACGGCTCTGGTGTTGCTGGAATCAGCTCTTATAGGCCGGGTCTCCCCATTGGATAAGTTCCCCTCTGGACCACGCCTGAGCTGGGCTTGGTCTTTCCTTGACTCTGGCTGCAGCCTGCTGAGTTCCACAGTTCAGTCTTTGAGAGGAAGCAAGAAAGAGAGCGGTGGCCAGTGTTCAGCCACTCTGAAGCCAAATTGCCCACAAAAACCTAAACCGCCTCTCCTCGTTTCCACTCTCTGCACTACAGTGGCCCATCACAGCCTTTAGCAAGGCCCGGTGAGATCTCCAACGGATGACATTTCCATGTGCCCATGGGGCGCATGCTCTTTGGGTTAAGGACAGGGATGGGTGACACAGGGAGAAGCCCCATCCTGACCTCCTCTTCCTGGGGCGTCTCTGCTCTATAGACCAGGGTTCCTGGGGTCTATCCCTGGCTCCTGTGCCACCTCTTCTTGCTCTTTCTTCTGCTTGTATGCTCTGCCCCCATCTGCCAGGATCTCTGCTGCAACCACCGGGCACATCTGGGCATCCTCTCGGACCCCTCTCCCACGCCAGCTGTATCGCCAAAGCTTAGAGTGGCTCCTTTACTTTGTATGCATTTAAGTCCTAGGAAAACCAAACCACTCCTTTCCCTGCTGGCCTCAATCTACTCATTGGGGTGGGGTGGGGGACCTCAAATCATTCATCCTTTGCAAAGAGAAAGACAAAAGAGGGCGCTATACATGTCTCCATCCTACTGCCAACCTGTCTTGCAACTTGAATATCTGTACAGTCCACTGGGTGAAGGTACATGTGTGTGTTAGTGACACGAGTCACCCACTTGACAGAGGGTTGTTCCTGTCTGTGTCCCAAGTTCAGCAAACTCTCCTTTAGACAGGCTCCCCAACAGAGCCGACCCACAGAGTAAGAGTCACCTGAAGGCCTTGACCTCTGAGAGAAACACCTTTTGCTTTCTAAAACATGTGGACTTGCCCCCTGAATTCCACCCATTCCTCTGGCCCACAGGTCTCTCCTCTTGTGGGGATGTCCTCTGGTTTCCCCATCCCCAGAGCCAAACTGTTGTTTTGTTTTTTGATTTTTCCTCTTACTGCTCAAAGAGAAAAGCATCTGATCTTGCCAGAGAGTTCCCTCCTCTTTCCCATCACATCCACCTTGGCCTCTTCAGCCAGTGGAAGCCCTTGATTGACATCAGCAGCCAGATAATGAACCTGGTGAACTTGGTCCTTCTCCTTCCCCACCTCTACCCCATGATCGCACACCACAGCCCCAAACACACGGGAATCCAGACTCTCTTCACGTCCCAAGCCTGGTGCCCACCATCAGAGATGCACAGAAGAAAGGGCCAAACTCAGCCCCAATAATCACTATCTTGAGACATCCAGAGCTGAGATTCTCCTGTTACGTCCTGAGGGCCATGCCCTGCCCACCAAAGGCTTTTTACTTGGATCTCACTGGAGAGGAAAATCAGAAGAAAAAGGTTATCTCATGACTTGGAGAAATTCTGTGAAATTCCAAGTTCATTTCCCTACCCAGAATCGCACAGGGACACACCTGTTCCTTGCATGTCATCCGTGGCCGCTTTGTGTCACAGTGATGGAGCTGTTTGCAGCAGAGACAAGGCCGCTCATGAAGCCTAAAATATTTGCCAGCCTCTGATAGAAAGGACTTATAAGAGAATAACTTCACTAGTGTGTGGCTCCAGAGGAGGGACAGGAGTAAGGGGAGGGCTGTCTCACTCCTAAGGTACGGGGAGCTCCCAGGGAGGCGACGGCTCCCTTCCTGGGCCAGATGTGAGCAGATGTGGCCACATGGCATGTATGATAGGCAGAAATTCAAGCCCTGCAGGCTTTGTGAATGAGTTGGGCTTTAGGACCACATCGCTTTGCTCGGGCTGCTGTGATGATAGAACACACACCGAGTGGTTTAAATAACAGACTTTTCCCTTTTGCAGTTCTTGAGGCTGCAAGTTCAAGGTCAAGGATTTAGGGCTGCCTCCCGGGAGGCCTCTCTCCTGGGCTTGCACACAGCTGCCTCTCCCTGTGACTTTACATCTGTGGTGTCTCGTTTTTTATGAGGATTAAGGCTCCACCTCTTTGACCTGATTCAACTTAACTCTTTAGAGTCTGTCCCCTACTGTGCCATTAGGGATCTGGATGTGTGAACACGGAACTGAACAGGTTTCCATCTCTTAGAACAGCCCTTGGGATTTCTAACTCTAAATTTTTTTTTCACTGCTAGAGATTAAACCCAGGGCCTTTGCATTGAGCCCCATGCCCAGTACTGTTTATTGTTTTGTTTCCTTTTCTTTTTGAGACAGAGTCCAGAGTCCTAAGTTACCCAGGCTAGGCTCAAATCTGCAATACTTGTGCCTCAGCCTCCCAGAGTGCAGGGATGATAGGCGTGCACCATCATGCCTGGTTAAGGATCTGGATTTAAAGAGCCTTTTGGGACAACACTCCCCTCTGTGGTTTGCTTTCCCACACTGGTCTCCACATTGCATCGCCAAATACACCCCCCTTGTCCAAGCATGCCATCAGCACACTCAAGCCCACTCCTCTCTGTATCAGCTTCCTGCAGCTGCTGTAACAAAATCACTGCACATTGCATTGTGTGGCCAGAGTGTATTTTCTCATGGCTTTGGCCAGAAGTCCAAAAGCAAAGTATGAACCGGGCTGTGGCTCTAACCCCTGCAGGGATGGGCATCTTCCCTGCCTCCCCTTCCTTCTGACGGGTGCTGGAAAACTTTGGCACTTTGTGTGGTGCCACCTCACTCTCCTCTCCATCCTTGCCTACCAGCCTCCCTGTGTCTCTGTCTTTACTGGCTGCCATCCTACAAGGATGCCAGTCACGTTGGATTAGAGGCCATCACCCTAACTGTATCCACAGTGACTCTGCAGATCACATTCTGAGGTCCCAATGGTTAGGGTTCAGCACGACTTTTTTTAGAGAGGTGGCTGGGAGAGCAGTCTGCTCTCGGGAGCTTTCTCTGGTGCCCTGCCAGGTCACCTTAGTCCCGTCATGACAGGCCCTTGGTCCCCCAGATCCTGGATTTCCCCAGGACCCATGGGATGCAAGGGTCAGGCCGCCAGTGTCTGCTTCTCAAACCACTCCTGAAAGTACTTAACATCCCAAATCCCAGCAGCTGCAGGTGTCAGCTCCTTGTGGGAAGGTGGGTGGCCTGCATGTGCATAGTTCATCTGCAGAGGGACAGTCACTTGAGGGCATGTCACGGCATAATCTATAGGTGTTGGCGGCATGAGTCTGATTTCATTTATACGCTTGCTCAGGGACAGAGCAGCGACCCTGGCGAGCCTGGCTTTTGTTCCTTCCTTCTTTGACTTTGCCTGGGAACTTTCCTGGTAGTCTCCTGGGGACACACTTCCTGGGATCCAGTGTCGCTTCATCCGTCCCAGCTACCTTCACCTGCACCCAGCAGTAAGGAAACAACCCTATACTCCAAGGGAACAAGAAGCTACGAATATCAGGCTGGGCCACAGAATGTGGAAGCCACCAGAGCCTCTTTCCTCTGATCAGTGCACCTGATTAGGCACAAGTCACTGGCTCCTTCGCAAGCCCTATAACCCCTACCAGTCCTTAGTTACCTGCTAAATGGGGACAGGAAGCTGGTGGAAGACTGCAGTCCCACTGACATCCTGCCTTGTCTTTGTGCCAGCTCCTGGTACAGTGCCTGGCACAGAGTAGGTGTTCAATAGATGTTTCCAGACTGCAGAGAGGTAGAGGTTCTGGGTAGGAGCATAGGCTCAAACTTGAAATTCTGCTGGCTCAGCCTCCTAGTGACCACAGGTGGTCCCAGGACTCTGTTGGCAGGGCTTGGTGACACTGAAGTACCATCTCTGCTGTGCGTGTCATGTCTCCCTTCCAGATGCGTTCATCAGGATTAACAAATGTGACGTGTGGAAGCCCATAGGTCAGGGCTCTGGGAGGTCTGGAAGACAGAATAACTTCCCAGCTCTGAAAGTTGCTGTTCACTGAAGACCTATCATGTGCCAAGTGGAATCCCCAAGCCAGTCCTGGGAGGCAGGTACTTTTGTCCTCATTTTAATAGAACAGCGGTGGAGACATAAACCAACCCATGGAATTGTGGAGCTGACATTTTAAAAACGAGTCCTTAGGCTCTTCCACTCCTAAGAACTCAGCCATGTCAAGTGCTTCATGCCCTGTCACCCGCTGGGGTGTCACGGTCCCTGCCTCTGAGGCTGATTCCCAGCTAGTAACCTGCAGAGAGGGAGGAGAGACAGGAAATCGTGGAAGGGAGGATGTGGGGTGCCTACTTGTGTTCCCAGACAGCCAGGCTGCCAGCAGTTGCTCGGATTTTCAGGAAACATTCATTTGCCAACCCGCGCCCTTCAAGAAGCCCACACTTTCCGCCCCACCCTCCCTTCCCTTCATGCCCTTTAACATTTAACTGTGGTTCTGGGTTTCCAGAAAGCTGACCAGTGAAAGGACTTCTCTCTTGGGTGGGCAAGGTCCTTCCTCCTGTTATCAGTGGGATCATTCAGCCCTTTCCTGATACCCCTTCCCTGACACCCAAAACATGAAGGATTCATCTTGTGGGGTTGAGAGAAGGGTGTCCCTTCACTGAGGACTGAGCTGGAGGAAATGGGCTTTGCCTAGAGTGTGCCTGATCTATGTAAGATCTTGTTTGCCAAATACGCCTCACAGATCAGTACTTCCTTGGGTGACTAGTTGACACTGAGCCACTGAATGGATCCTGGGATGACTGTGCATTAGAAGTGTTTAGAGATAACAAGAGGAAACTTGTTTTTTGATTGCAAGACTTACCAGAGCTTTAAAGACACTATTGTGTGGTTGAATTTCTAAAAGACCAATGGATGCACACTCTTCCAGGCTGGTTTCTTAGTGCCCCAACAAGGACAACCTTGTGACTTCAGCTTAATTCCTCACCTGATACTCAAAGAGCAAGTCTCCATGTTCTGGCTCATAGAGAACAGGAGCTGGCCACTAGCATTTAAAGGCCACCTCCCTAGAGAACAGAAAGGTACTCAGGCCCCATCCTTCCCTGACTCCCCAGAGAGTGGCATGGAGCTGGACTAGAGATGGAGGTGGGGGTCACTGGCCACAGCCGCTCCTGGATTCCCACTCACTGCCAGTAGGAAAAGCAGAGCCCCAGAAGGGAACTAAGGAAGGCAAATATGTAACTTCTGCCCCTGATGCTGCAGCCTGTGCTCTAAGCCGACATTACTAATTGATCACAGCACACCTTCCCACCAATCGCAGACTCAGCCATGGGAAATGAGAGGACACACGTGACCATCTCTGGTCTCACACTCCCTTCCCTGTACAGCAGCAGGGTCTGAAGACCAGACAGGTCCTTTCTAAGGGACAGAGGTTGGTTTAAAATTCAGGCCTCAGAAACTTCTAGAACCCCAGTCCTTCAAACTGTTACTTGTACACAGTCCATCAGAGCCTTATAGACGATTCAGTCAGGGAACTTGGGAAATGCACAAAGATTCTATTCCTAAGCGCCCAAGTCAGATTTTATCTGGTAATCTGCCTGGAGAGAATCATCTATTCTCCAGGATGGCTCCCCACCAGGCCTCAATGCTACCCCCAGCCACATAACAGCTGGGCTGGGAGCCTGACATCCGTGGGCCCCGAGGAAAGATGGTGTCCTGTGCACGGTGGCGGGGGGCACTGTTCTGAGGCAGTTTGTCAGAGTTCTAGAGTTCAGTCGGGGCCTCCGGGCACTCAGATGTGCTGCAGAGAACGTTGAGGGTAAGGAATGTACACTTCGATCTTTTTCTGCCCTGTATGCAAAGTTCAGAATCCAGTTTTCACCCACACAGCTTCTGGGGTCCTGGCGGGCCGGCGGCTCCACTTGGGAGCTCTTGAAATGCTCTTGCCACCAGCTTAGTGGCGGCAAGGAGCGTGGGCTGCCTGTTTCCTTTCTCCCTTCGCCACCCCCACCGGCCACCTCCTGCCTGATACCATCTCCCCCAGGCCAGGGGCCCAGGAGAAAGTCACACAATAGTACAGATGAAAAATAGCTGCCCTGTGTTTAGCTTAAATTAGCTCAGGGGAGCGGCTCCCTCCTGTCACGGAGAGGGCCGCTATTGTTTATGCCAACGTGATGTTTGCATCGTGGCTTCTTAGATTTGAAAGTCTCGAATGATTAAATACAAATCTTAGTTTTTCTTTTCCTCCATTTAAAAAAATAACAATGCCAGCTTGGCTAGTTCTTCTCGTTTAAAAATACCCTGACCTCCTGTGCTACATTCAGGGCTCCAGACACTCTGGAGGGAGGATACTGGGGAGAAAGCGTGGCTCGCAGTGTCTTGGGAGTGGCTGCTGAGGGACTGCTGTGGTGTGAGGGGCTCTGTGTCCTCACATAAACGTCAGTGATTAAGTTGGGTTCTGTGGGTAGATTTCTCCATAGCCATGCAGGCCTTGGGTGACTTACTGAGCACTTACTATATGTTAGACTCTGCACATTGAGTGCTGAGTGATACCCAGCCTCTGAAGCTCAGAGCCCGAGGCAGGAGAGAGATAAGAAACAGCCAACCACAGATCTATAGATTGGCAACATGCATAGATCTGTAAAAAGAAAACTTACAAGGGGCCAGGAAGATGGTGGTGCAGGGTTAGGGCGGGTAGCTACTGGCTTAGTTTTTGTGGAGAGGTGACATTTAAATCAAGATCTAAAGAAAGAGAAGGAGGAAGGGATGATGGTCATTCTGAGCCAGGGGTTTACAACCTCAGCGCTGTTGACACAGGGTCCAGATGTGTCTCTGTGGCAGGGACTGTCTGGGCATTGTGGGATATAGAACAGCAGCCCTGGCCTCCGTCCATCAGATGCTAGTGACATCCCCAGCCCTGTGACATCCAAAACTGTGTGCAGACACTGCCCGATGTCCTTTGGGTTGTCTCTTTGGACACAGTACTAGAATTGAAATGTGGTGACCTGCCACCTGCAGCTTTTGGGAAACAGGAAGACTCAAAGAGGGGGTACCTGGAGCGGGGGGGACACTGAGAGCAGTCGTTTGAGGGCCAAGTTAGCCAGGAGAACGTGGCCTTTGTTTCACCATTGGCCTGCACAGGGCAAGGGCTGGGTCCCCAGGGCGTCACTCCCCCAGCCAGGGGTGTCCTAGGAAGGATTCTTCTTAGTAAACTGAACCCTTGAGACGTGTGTTAGGAAGCCATAGTGCTGCTCTCTGGGGCTTCTCAGGGGAGTCTCCCCAGCACCCTAGGATGGAGGGGTCCCCAGGTAGCTGAGAACATTTTCCACCAGCTTTCCAGTCCCCGGTGAGCTATGGAGGAGACATTCAGGCCAGGCCAGTAGCACTGCCCCTGGTGGAGACAAAGTCACAAAAAAACACCATCTGGATGAGATGTGCCACTCTATCTTGTCCCCCGTGGCTGACCCAGGGGTGACGGCAGGTGGTAGGTATGGGTCATCTCTATAGGCCCTGCTGTGACACCCCTAGAATCAGACCCCAGAGGATCCCCGGAGGCAAAAGATTGGAAGGAGAGGCTGGGTATCCCAAAGGGCTGGGGCTTGGGAAGTTGCTTTGGGAAACGGGGACAGTCAAGCACCTTCTAGGAGGAGGCTGGTCGCCTGGAGCCCTGAGCCCTGTCTCCTGATGGGGCCAACCTCTCCCCCACTCCGCAGCCCGCCCCAGGTGGGGTTCTGGACAATTTCACCTATATGAATCTTGGACAATTAATGCAATGCATTGGTCCTTGAGATCCTAGTCGTTTCCCTCTATTTTTCTACCTGTGTTGCAAATACCACTTTAATAACTTTTTAATGGGTACATATGAACTTGTATAAGTTCAAGTAACTGCTACGTAGCTACAGTGTAGACACCTGGGTACTCTAACGTGCTTGTCCGAGGCCCCCATGCTGGTCCCCTTCCCCCACCCTCAACCAGCCTCCTAGGGAGAGGACGCAGCTAGTGTGGGCTGCCTTGGCCAGGCCTGAGCACGGTTATGCAATGCACGAGTCCCTCCCCCACCTCTCTCCCTCCTCCTGGCATTCGTCTCTCGCCAAGCTGATCATCAGGAATAAATCCTCAAAAAGCCCCCAGCCTCAGCGCCCAGACGCTAGGTGCCCCATTGGTATTTCAGGCCCAGCCTCTCATGGCACTTGTAAGCTGCCACCCAGCTGGCTCTCTGCTGCCTCAGACTTCCCACACCCCAACGGCTGGCCCTTGTCCCATGAGGGATGCCCGTGTTCCCTGACCCCCTAGTCCCACCCCAGCTCCTATATCTGGCCTGTTGGTGCACTGACGGATACTAAGGAACTCTTCCCTGTGTACCAAGAGTGAATGTCGTCAGCCACAGTTACTACATCATCCTCAGAGCCCCACAGCGGGCAACCCTGTCCCTTTGTTCCCCAAGACTTCATTTCATATAGTCAATCAAGTGCCTCCTGTGTGGCCAGAAAAATAAGGAAGGAAAGATCTCTGCCTCAGCTTCCTGGGTCCAGAGTTCCAGTTAAAGGCATCCCAGTGGGGTCGAGAGGCCCCTTGAGGAAGGCTTTTCAGAAGAGGCAACTTCTGGATGTCACCTGAAGTGTGAACAGAATGGAAGAAAGTAGGGAACAGTGCGTAAGAGGAAGGAACAGTCTATGTGCAGACTCGGGCAAGAGTATGATTGACATTTTCTGGTCCCCACTTTCCCCAAGTGGATGCTGGGACCTGGAAGACTCAATCCCTAAGAGGAAAGTGCTCAGGCCTAGACATGAAGCGCTCAGCTTCTCAGCCCGTCATGCTCTGGCTTCCGCTTAGCCTCAGTGCCCGGGGTGGGAGATGCCCAAGGGAGGGTTAGTGTTTGCTAGAGTTCAGGCCATTCCTCCCTACATCTCTCGCTGGTCCTGCTGACCTCTCCCCCTTTGACATGTGCCTGCACCACCATGAGGGAGGCTATGTGACTGCTTCCTGGTCCCCTGTGTCACTTTTGCTGCCCGTGGGCATCCTTGCTAGAGAGGGGTCGGCCACCAGCCCTAACCCTCTTAAGCACTTTCTCCTGTCTCTGCTTTGCATCCCTCTCCCCCTGCAGGCTTCGGCCTCACATCTCCGAGTTCCCTGAGACTAATGCATCTGTCTTGCCACGCTGAAAAGCCCCCCTCCCACCCGTGGGGTCACCAGGGTCCCTTTCCTAGACACTCCATGGCTGTGAATGGTCACTGGAGGGCTGAGGTCAAGGACGTGCACGAACACAGAAATGGTCACACACATTCTAATGGTCTCAGTTAAATGTTGCAGGTGTGCTGGGCAAAATGCTAGTTTGCTATAGAAGCGCCTAAAAAAAGACTCAGGAATCGTCGTGAACCTCAGGCCAAGCCTGCGATGCGGCGTGAAGTGGGGGTCAGATGGTGTCCTCTCTCCGAGGGGAGAGGGCACCTGTTCTCCTATAAATGTGTGGGAGCTTGAAAGGCTGGAAACAGCCGTGGCTGAGCCCCAGACTCTCAGAGCACAATTGGCCTCTGTAAATCAATGGGGATTGTTTACCTGTTCGAAGCTGACTCGGCTCGCAGTGCCCAGGCCTCTCCTCGGTGTGGACAGTGATCTCCCCGACCACACCCCAGCATCCGCAGCGCCTGCAGAGCAGTCCTGGGGTTCTCTTGGTTTTCAAGCACTTAGTGTAATGCTAACCTTCGAGTTTGCTTGGGAGAGTAAATGGCATCATGAATGCCAGAAGTGTCACACAATACCTGGCACACAGTAGGTGCTCAGTAAGTGTGGCTTCTCAATCACCCAACTGATGTTTCCCCCCAAACCTCATCCTGAAATACCAGGGCATTGGAAGAGACAGGTGGTGGGTGTTACCCATGCCCTTCAATGGTCCCGGGCAGGGATGCCAGGTCTCAGAAAGACGACCCCTCCCCAGCTGTGGTAAGGTGAGGCTCAGCCTTAGGGAACTGGGGAGCCCTGGCAAGGCCACCCCTGCCCCCAAGGCCCTCACAGTAGCAGGACTCCCCTCATCCAGGCCCTGAGGTGAGAACTCAGTCTATCAGTGGGGCCGACAGGGCTGGTCCAGCTGGGTGAGTGCCCTTGGTCAGGGCAGGGCCAGGCAGAGATGCTCGGCCACTAGAGCGTCCCTGTGCCCACCTCCTGTCCCTCTCTCCTGATCACTGATCTCGCACCAGGGTCCGCTCTACAGACTTAGCGCATGCTTCATCTGGTTGATTACTCTCCAAGTTACTGACCTTAGGAAAATGCCTCAATTGTAAAAAGGCTTTCTCTGTGTAAATGATGCTGTTACCTTTTTCTATACACAAAGTATATATACCTATAAATATTATACATATATATTATATAAAGACTGATTCTTGTACAGACCTCTAAGGACCGATGGTCCACCCTGTCTCCATGTCTGTCTGTGCCGACCGTCGCAGAGTGAGCTGATGTATGAAATCCATTTCACATTTCCCTTCTGGGGCCGCTTCTTTCCTTTTCCTTTCTAACTCTGTCTGGGTCTTTGTCTCTCTTTCTCTCTCACTTGTTGCCAATGTCTCGCTGCTGAGAAAAGATATTTGAATCAATGCCATCCAGGAAAGGAGAGCCGGATGGAGGGAGGGAGGGTCCACTGTGTATATTTGTACAGAATCATTTATAAAGTTTTCTACACTTCTCAAAAAAGTATTTCTATCTTGGGCTGTTGGACAGTTTGTGAGCCTCTGAGCCGGCAAGCCTATTGTTTCTTGTGTTTAGTGCAATGTTTAGTGAGAATCCAATATCTGAATTATTTATGCCAATAAAGAATTTGAGAATCACTGCATCACACTGCTGCCAAAATAGGTCTGAATTCTGTTGTTATCTGTTGTACAAGAGGAATCCAGAAGTGTGACATTGGTCAGTGTATCAGTCAGTGATTGCCATGCTCATGCTGCATAACAAACATCATAGCTTACAACTAGCATTTAACCTTATACAGCTGGGTCTAAAGTCTAAGTTGGGATTTACAAAGAGGCTCCTGTTTGGAGCCAAAGTCAGCTTCAAGCAGTTCCACGTGTTTCCCTATTACAGATTCCAGGCTGACAGCTAGAACAAAAATTCACAGACACATTCAGCATCCAGACCACATCCACTGACATTCTACTGACCAATGCAAGTCAAATGAGCCAGGCTTTTAAAGAGCGGGGGATGTACAATCCACAAGCCTGGGAAGGACAGCGTGCATGTTAGTTGAACAGTAATTCGATGGGTCACAGCCTGGCCATGCCATGCCTGCCCACATCACCCTCCGGTGTATTTGCCCTAGAGGGATGAATCTGGCACAGACACACACACAGATATGGCCTCGGTACAGAGCCCACGCTCTATGTCCACATTAACCCCATAGCACTCAGTTCCAAGGAAGTTGGGTGCAGGAAGAGAAAGCCACTAGCCCAAGCCAAGGCAAAAGCCCAAAGCTCATGGCTCTGGAGACACTAAGAGCAGGATTTTAAAAACCTTCTCTGCAAAGCACTTTGTGGAACGAGACCTCATGAGGTTTGGAAAAAATCACAGTGGGTTGGTGACAGGTCACCTCCTTCAGCAGCAGGGGGAAAGATTCCACCAGGCAACTCCAGCCAGAACTCCCAGTTCCCTCCCTGGGGATACTGCTGAGAGACAGAAGACTCTTTTCCCTTGTCCTGGTGAGTCCTTCCTGCCGTCCCCTACAGGCTCAGGGCTGCACCAACAGAAGAGGAGACCAATTCCAGCTATCCCACATGCAAGCCTTGGGCAGGTCGTATAGCTTCTCTGAGCGTCTACATCTCATCTGTAAAATGGGTATAATTATTATACTGCTGCTACCTTACTCCCAGTACTGTAAATTCACATAAGTACTTGTAGTTGTGCCTGGTAAGAGCTCTACAGGTGGGAGTCGTGGTGTAGGGATGTGGTACAAGGCCATGCAGATTGCCCCAAGAGGGAGGTCCACCCTGAATGACCTTTTATACCCTAGAATCCCTCATCTCTGCTGAGAAGTGACTCCAGCCCCCTCCCACCCCCAGGTCTCTCTCAGAGAATGGAAGATCACACCCAACACCACCTTGCCAGCTGCTTCTTCCCACTCGCTGTGGTCAGAGGGGCTGCATACTCACATCACCCCATTTCACAGAGAGGAAGTAGAATCCCCTTCAGCAACAGAATTCCTGCTGTGGGCTCTGTCACTTTGACCAACTGTGTGGCCAGCCAGGCAGTGACATCAATTCACACAACCTCAGTTTCTTTAACTGTTAAATGGGTACCCTAATTATACTTGCTTTGGAAAGCGGGTGTCCAGGTGAAAAGCAGGTGGAACAGGCATAATTCTCAGCAAAAACAGCCATGAACCTTAGCTGTGCTCAGCACAGACCTGACATTTAGCTCTGAGATGACAAAGAGGTGGGGCTAAGGGAAGGAAAAGACCAGAAATGCCATCCTCCGGAGAGAAGCCGCTGAGTCTTCCCTGGGGCCTGGACAGACTGATCGTGCCAGGTCTGGCTTGTGGTCCTCTGTGGCCATACAGCCACCATCAATCAGGCGCAGCAAGTGTTGGCCAAGGAGAGGAACCTTGTGAGTCTTCGGAACTGAACAGCTCATTAACCTCCGTGTACCGGCTACACTCACAAGGCCACCTGTCCATGCAGGAGGCAGGGGCAAGGCCTTCAAACCCTGTGACCCCTGGCCTCCTCACTTTTGCCCACCCTGAGATCCTGCCAAGCCCCCCGCATTGCCCACCTCCCATCAGCCTGTTCCCAGGAGCAGCACTGAGCCTATTCCATGTCTCATCTCACTCCCCCTCCCCACAGTCCTAGGAGGCAAATATGCCCCTGAATCCATCACACAAAGTACCTGGGGCTCAGCGAGGTTAAGCGACCTGCCCAGAGTCACACAGTGGCCAGTGTGGAGCCAGGAGTCAAACCGAGACCATCTGAATCCGGAACCCAGGCTCTGAGCTGCCCCGATGGATGGCTTCCAAGGATGACCTTTTATAGGGAATCGATGATTCTCAACCAGGACAGTGCCCCCCACCCTGGGGAACATCTAGCAAGGTCCTACTGGGGTACATTAATGGTATCCAGCAGCTAGAGGCTAGAGATATTGCCCAGCACCCCACAATGAATTGAGCCTCCCCCAAGAGAGGTTGTCCAGCCCCAAGCCTCCATAAGATTGACGTTAAAAAACTGGGGTAAATGCTGCTAAGCACAGGGCTTGAAGGCTCCTGGGGCTGGGGAGCAGGGGCAGTCATCAGGAACTGTCTCCGGAAAAACCACCAAGACTGGGACGCAGTGCACACCGCCATTCCCCGCCGTGAAGTTATGGGAGCTGCGAAGAGACAGACTCAAACTCAAGCCATACATTCGCGTGTGGCAGGCACTGGGCCAGGGATGCCATCACACCTTACAGGTAATAATCGCTCACACGTCCCCTGTTCACTCACAGCGGACCCAGGTGGGGGCAGCCCTTCCTACTTGGAGCCGCAGAGAGACACAACATGGTGCCCAAGCACACACAGCAGGCTACCACTGAAACCTGAACTTGGGTCTCATCATCTGTAGTCAGGTCTTCAGAACAGCAAGCAAAAGGCACTAACACCTGTTTGTCTACCTGTTGGGGTCTGTGCCCCAGTTCCCCAAATGGGTGCGCAGTGAAGGCTCAAAGGAATGAGGCAATTGGCATGGTCTTTAGGGCTGCAGGAGGAGTGAAACCCTCAGCGGAGCTCGAAACTCTGCTAGCCGGCCAGCAGGCTGACGCTGGGCAGCCGTATTTAACCAGAACAAGCAAGGAGCTGAGGGGACAATGGAGGAAACCTGAGCAGAACCTCGGGCAGAGCTCAAGGATCCCTCAGAACAACAGACAATGCTAATTAAGGAAAACTATCCAGAAAGTCTCCAGGTGGCCTCAGCTGTGGCCTATCTTGCTCCCTGAGGCGTCTCCTCATTCTCAGTTGAATCACGCCCGCCTGGGCCACACCACAGCCCTGAACGTGCATTCAACTTCAGTGGCCCCAACATCTGCCTCACCCATGCAGCATGGCCTTGCGAGCCTCTTGTACACCTAGGTAAGTACTGCAGGATTTCCTGTGGGGTCATTTTGTCCTAGCTGTAAACTCCCTAGCATGACATTGCATGAGTCATTTTGCTCTGTGGACGCTGTTTGTTCACCTATAAAATGGAGACCATAATAGCACCTATTTCATTAAAGTGTAGGTAAAATACATGGAGTATTTAGCACAAAATAAGCCCTCTGTGTGTATTTTAGTTCAGGGCTTTCTGGACAGAGCAATTGGGATTGGATAGGAGATATCTGTTAAGGGCAATGAACGTCAGGTTAAGTCTCAAGGCCTCAGCTTGACAGGCAGCTGGAGCCCAGAGCTCAGAGTGAAGTGATTGTCACACAGGGACCAAGGGGCATTTCCCTCTCCTGAAGTGAGCCCAGGGAAATGTCTGCTCTGGCCTCTCTGCATATCTTTGAGAGAGTCTGGGAGGTCACAGGAGGGGTGATACATGCAGCCCAGGCTGCAGATCCAGATAAGGGGGATGTCACAAAAATGGGAGCTGTCGCTGTCTTCTCATAGGCCACCAGAGTCCTTAAGTGGCCCTGTCCTCTGCCATGTCTTACATACTGGGAGCTGACACTCACGTGCCCACACTCGTGCACACACACACATGCTGTGGTCAGTACATGCACAGCCATATCCCTGCTCAGCACCCATACAAACTCACACAACTCGCCCTGCACAGCCCACACCTTCCCTCTCTTCTGCCCTCTCGCCAGGAGGCCTTCATGCACACTGGTGTTTGTGTTTCCAAACAGCCCACAGTAGCTGTTTGTCTCAGCGATCCAGAGTGGGTCGATTGTTCTAGGGCTGTGGCCAGCCTGTGGGGGCTGCCCTGGAACCAGCCTTAGCCAGAGCCCGCACCCTTCCCTCTGAGGGCTCTAAATTATCACAGTGTTTGACAATTGGGTGGTTTCCTCTACACCATTTATAGCCATTTATAACCCAGGAGCTCCCTGGGGCTTGGGCACATGTGAAATACCATCTCTGCCACTACTGAGTCAAACAAAGAGAATCATTCTTAGATCTCCCAAGGACAAAGCCTTCAGTCAGGGACCAGAGTCTTCCTGAAATGCAATCACAGGAAGTGAGTGAATATGGTCAAGGAGCAAAAGAAAACTAGGTAAAATTAAATATGTTTGCTGCAAGTCTCACCTGTGCTTTTAATACTCATGTGTGTTATAATTCTCCCAACACAGCTAGAGTATGGAAGTTTCTCAGCTTCTGTGGCTCTAGGACCCTTCATTCACTGAATCTTAGAAAATCTGCTTCTGGGGGAAGGCAAACTTAGACAAAGACCTCGTGCAGTTCTCTGAGCCTTGATCGCCAAATGGGAATTAGGGTTGCATTCACCGCCTCAGCCACAAGTGAAGACTCCTCAGAGCTGTATGAGCCAGTGAGTGGAGGACACTCAGCATTTGCCTGTGTCTTCAGGGGCCTGCGGCAGCTCTCCAGCCCACAACCCCAAAGGAATAATTGCATAAGGAAAAGCTGCCTATGGAGTCACAGCCCCTCTGTGGCCCCGTGGTCCTTTGTTTATGAGGTATTTTCTAATCCCACTAAAAATTTTTTTTAAAAAGATGTTTTTCAAAATAAAATTAGATCCCACTTTTTAAAGGGTTTAAGGTTCTTTAGGAAACCAGAAGTTACTAGCACTACCTTGAGAAGGGGCACATGGGTAACAGCTGGGCGCTGGGCTGCAGGTAAAGGGATTTGCCCCAACCCCAGACCTGCCCCGCCTAATTATGTAGGAAATTAAGTTTCCACGTGGCTGATTTAGCTTTCACTTGCAACATATTTGAAATGGTGTTTTGCTCCATTGCTGATTTCTCTAGCCTGGAATAAAAACTTAGATCATTCAAAGGACTTAGCATTATTTTCATCATAGCAGGGAACAGCAAACCGTAGACCTCAAACCCTACCAGATGTGCTGCCTATTAGATCAGCATAATTCTTATATTTTTAAATGATCAAAGGGAAGGGAGAGTTGAGGAGGAGTGGGCAGCACAGGGCACGACCTGAGCGGCAACGTAATAGAGGTAACGGCGAGCTTACCGCTGGCCTGGTGTACCGGAAGGGGCCGCCCTTTGTAGGACCTGTACACACGTTTTTGCCATTTGCCCAAAGCTCCCGTGAACCTTGGCTCACCCCAGGAACAAAGGCTAAGACCCTGATTGGAGCAATCAGAGAAAGTTATTTTTAGAAAATCAGCAAGCTAAAGATGCCACGGTGAGAACCGCACCTTGTGCTTCTCCCTGGCCTGCAGCTCCTCTGCTGCGTGGCAGCCCACCCCCCACTCCTCCCGCCTTCTGCAGTCTTCTCAGGAAAACTCCCCCTGTGCGCCACTGTGGGTCTCTGAGCCTCTCACACCGCACAGGGAGAGACTTCCGGTTCTGATTCAGCCTCACTTCATCGCTTGCCTTCCTGCAGGGGTGGAGAAAGCCAGGGAAGAGCAGGGTCTCTTCACGGGAACACCGTGGCCTCCCAGACCGCCACTGTCGCAGCAGAAGAAAACCTGAAGAATAGTCCATGACACAGGAAAATCACATGGAATTTTATAACTGTTTGCTTATGGTAGAAAATGTCTTGCCAGTAGAAGTGCCAGTTCCTGTATTAAACACACCGATCGGCAACAGGTCTCTTCCTGATGGAGGGGGGAAGGACATGAGCCACATTGGTGAGGTCAGAGGTCTTCTCCCACGTGCAAGGTTCCTCTTGTCCTTTCCTTACCTGGCTGCCCACCCTTACTTCTTCAGAGGGGCGTGTCCTCGACGGCAGCCATTTCTGCCCAGCAACACACAGTTCTGCCCATCCTCCACAGATGATTGGTCAAAGGGCACACACCTGACCTAGACTGAGCCAATCAGATGTTTTTCCTGGGAATTTAGAATATCAAATTGGGATTTCGAAGGAAGGATTTTAGGAGCCAATCCAGGAACCAGACTCTGCGTTTCCCAAGCATTGAGTATTGTTTGGATCCTTTAGAGTTCTCCAGATGCTCATTATTCTAATAAATTCACCTCTTTCCTGCCTGCCAGCTCTTCTTTTTTGAAATCTCATTTTGAATTGTTTTTGTCATTTGCGAACCAGCAAACCTGAACGACCCAGTCTCTAGCGCTGATCACGGCTCATCACTTATGTGCAGCAGGTCAGGGCTCTCTGTCATCTCTTCTCACGAAGGGACGTCACAAAACATCCAGAGCCAAGAAGATGAAGACGACAACACCCTGTGTAAATTAGAAGGATTTCAGAGGACAAAAGGCGACTGGGGTTTGATTTTTTAAAATATAAAAAAGATTCAACAGCGCTGGCCATTCACGATATGCAAATTAAAGCAATACTGAGATTTCACCTCACCCCAGAAAGAATGGCTAGTATTAAGAAATCAACCAATAACAAATGCCACTGGGGTTGTGGGCAAAAAGGAAATCTTCTCCATCATTGATGGGAATGCAGACTGGTGCAACCACTGTGGAAATCAGTGTGGAGATTCCTCAAAAAACTAGGATTGGAATTCCCATTAGACCCAGCCACTCCCCTTGTGGGTATCTTCCCAAAAGAATTGAAAATGCACCGCAGTGATATATGTGCACCATGTTTATAGCAGCACAGTTTGTAATAGCCAGATCTTGGAAACAACCTAAATGCCCATCTACTGATGGGTAAAAATGATGTGGTATTTCTATATAATGGAACACTATCCAGCCATAAAGAATGATAAACTGGGCATTTTTATAGGTAAATGGATGTGCCTTGAAAGTATTAGTGAAATAAATATGTCACGCATGCATAATCATCGCATTGTTTCATTAGTATGATAAGGAAAAAAACTTGTATTTTGTCCCAGAGAGAATGGCTTTGGCCAAGCAACAATTTGGGCCAGCTACCTTCACTTTAACCCACTGTGAGCCATTTTGAGCTGACTTTTGGATGTTTTAAGAAATTTTTGATGTCCTGTAAAGTTTTGGTTTTTTTGTATGTGTGTATCCAGTTGTTTCAGGGTATTTATTGAGGATACAATCCTTGCTCCACTTCAGTGATTTTGCATCTTGGCCAGAAATCAAATGTCTGGTATGTGGGTATCTATTTGGGCACTATATATTGGTACTTTGGTGGCTTGTCTATCTTGATCTCAATGCCATTTTGTTGTGATTGGTGTAACTTTGTGATAAGTCATGGGATGGGGGAGGGTTGGAACTCTAATTTTGTTCCTTTGTCAAAGTTGTATAGACTATTATTTGTCTTTTTTACAGAAATGTAAGAATCAAAATGCTAATCTATATAAAAATATACAAAGAAGAGAACAAGTCATTTTCAGAGCCTACTTCTTTAAAAGCATTATTAAGCTACAGGGCACTAGGTAAATTTTGCTTGCAGAACTGGAGTTGAACCCAGGGCCTTATTATGCTACCTTTCCAGCCCCTTATTTTTTTTTTTTTTAATTTTGATACAGGGTCTCACTAAAGCATTGAGCTACCAGGCTGGAATGGAATTTAAGATCCTCCTGCCTCAGCTTCCCAGAATGTTTTGATGGCAGTGCCAGCAGGCCCAGCTCCATTAGAAAGGTTTCTGAACCTATTCACAGCCTAGGTTTTTCATCATAATCAAACAGGGATGTGACATGATCTCATATAATTACTGTCATGGTTAATGCTAAGTTATTAAGGAGCTATAAAAACATAAAAGACATTGCACACAGGACCAGTGTCATCTAGTAGGGCAAAGGGCAAAGATTTCACAACCGGTCAGACTTCCACTGGAAACCCAGCTCTGTTGCTTTCCAGCTT